AGAAGTCTATTCAATTAGTCCTGGCCGCTTCTCTCATTTTTTTCCTCCCAGTTTCCAAACAAGCCCTCAGTGAACATCATTGAAGCGTGACTGCCTGTCTGCAGAGAGAAGGATTCCATTTTTCTTCTCAGCTGGTCCCCGGGCCCACGGGCACAGGGAGCAGGACGACTGCAGCAGCAGGGAGGCACAGCTAGCTGCAGTTTTCTTTTCTCCTTGCCCTAGTCAGATGAAGGAGGCTGAACTACAAACCCAAATTCTGCAAAAAAAAATAAAATAAAATAAAATAAAAATAAGCCACCAAACTAAAAGGCCTGGCCCCATTCTGGAAAAGGCAAAGCTGCATGAGACACAGCCTTCTGCCTCCTCGCCTCTCCTGGACTGGCTTCCTCTTTGAGAAAATGCACAAAGCCCTGGGAGATGACAAGCACGAGGACTGACGCAAGCTGTGTCTTTCAGACCAAGGAACATCAGAGAAGCTGTGGGGCTGCCTGCCATGCAGGATCATGGCTGCCATCAAGCCTTTTCTGGATCCAGCCATCAAGGACATGTTTGTGGTGTGATACACACCTTTGCAAGTGTGTAAGATGTTACCTGGTTTGTCTCTTTTGGAAAACAAAAATCAGAAGGCCGCACTCTAGAGGGCAGAGAGATTCCCCCGAAGACTGAGCTGGTTGCCTGCATCCTCTATCTTCTTTGACCCTTATGACTGTAAGATCATCAGTTTGGGATCTTAGGAAGACCTGGAAGGTACTGGTCTAATTTATTTAGGAAGTATCTCTTGGAATTTGAGAAATGCTAGCTTGGACAACTGAAAAGTCACATCACATCTGGCATTCTGGGGGTTACTAAAACACCCCTTCTGGAGTGGAAGCTGCTGGAAGGCAGGCCTGAGCCATTCACCACAGACAGGAAGAGCAGCCCTGGCTATCACCACTGGCCTCTGGGGTCTTCATATCTTGCCATCTCATCCAGGGTTCTGTGAAAGTTACCCAGGGTCCTCATGTCCTTCCTTAGAGCCTGAGTGGTGTGAGGTGACAGGTCTCTCTCCCCACTGCCCCTTTCTGGCTTAAAAAAATGGTGCTTGATGAGGGAAGGTAGACTCTTCCCTAGGACTGACGAGTTATGGCTGCCAGATACCTGCATGGGAAGAGGTGGACCTCTGCATCTTCCACTGGCGGCCAAGGATGGGTGTGGGTGAACCACACCTAGCACAAGCCTGGTACTCAGTAAATATTTGTTGAAATGAGTAAGAGCATCGGTCCCCAAGCCAGAGCGCCAGAAGCCATCACCCAATGACCGCCCCTTCCTTCCGGTCTACAAGAGCTCTCAAGGCTGGGTCTGCCACCACTCTGCTTTGCCCAAGTGTGGCAGCACTGGGGAGGAGAGACAGGATAAAGGGCAGATGTCAGCAATACTAAGGGCTTCCTCATGGGAGGGCATGAGGCTCCACTCATTGTCTTGTGACTTCCATCCCTGCTGAATGGGGCTGCAAGGCCAAGGCTCCTTAGGGGAGAGGTCCTTACCTCTGATCCACTTAGAGCAATAACCACTTTTTAAATGTAAAATAAAAAGACAAATGAAAAGGCACATCCTTGTCTTCTGGTAAATGCCCAAATGTTGCCCTCTTTTTCTGGCAATTGGCAGCAAGTCAGGATGTGTGGAGGAGGGAGTCAGTTCTCTCTCTCCATTTTGGCCTGCAGCTTCTTAGGGACATGCCTGCCAGCCAAGCTGGAGTTGGAAGGGAAATCTCAAACAGATGGGGGTGCACGTGTAGGAGAAGAAAATAGCTGCTCCATCATCCTATGACTGAGGCTCCCCCAAACCAAGCTTGGGCTGCCTCACTAGATAGGTATGCAGGCTGGTACTCAGTTTTTAAAACAAAGGGTTTTCCCCACTGGATGGGGCTGGGTGCTTTTCCTGGCCAAAGGAATGCAATTCTTGTTTCTCCCTAGGGTAAGGAAGGAGTGAAGGGGAATAGCAAAAGCTGCTTTCTGCAGCTCAGTATTCACAGCCTGCTGTTCTAGGCTGTTAAAGGAACACCATTATGATCCCAACAGCAGACTGAAAGAGTAATGATGATATTAGCCAAGGAGCAAAAACCAGTAAATGGGGCACCTCGAACATATCCTGTCCAGAGCCAGGAAGAGCTTGGAGAGAAAATGTCCGGTGAGCAGGGCTTGGAGTTGACTTTTAGAAGGTTCTGAAAGCAGAGGGAAAAAAGGTTTTAGAGGCTGCACAGCAAAGTAGGAAACTGAGTTGCACACCAAACTCTAAGCCAAACCTCAAAGAGGTATTTCCTAGGCCCTCTGTACCCATCTAGTGCCAAATGATGGAAAAGCCCCGAAGTCAGCACTAGGTATAGTATAGTCAGTGGGGCTCAGGGACCTCTGCTAATGGGGGTTTCCTGTCTTCAACTTAATCTGTGCCTGTGGTACATCATAAAGGGTATGACAGAAAAAGAGGTAACACTCTTGGCTTAGATAAAACTCCATTACCTTTAATTACCTCCCTAAACTCCCAATTGTGTAACAATTGAGCCTTCCCTGAATCACTGTAGTTGCAAAGTCGAACCCTACACAGCTAGACTTGGGATGTGATCCTTTCACCACCATCACTAGATCCACGGACATTTTCTCATAACTGTGGAAAGGCACAGGCAGGTCTCTGAGACCAAGAGACCTCACTTGCAGACTACAGCAGGCCTGTGGGAGAAATGTTGGTCTGAGAAGCAGGAGACCCTGCCTTGTAATCACCTAACACCTCAGGCAAGTTAATTCTCTGAGGTTAGGTCTTGGTGTCCTTATCTGCCAAAAACAGAGAATTTAGAAGATTCCCAGACTCTACCTACTTCCTACAATAGGAGCCAAGGTGCATCCTCCTAGGAGCATGAGGGAAACCTCAGGGTCTGAGGGGAGGAAGATAGACTGGTGAGTGTTTCTATGAGGCAAGAGTCCTTTTCTCCTCCTACTCTTGTCCCCTAGTTTTTCAGAATGGGCCTTCTCAAGAATCCATTTTTAAGAGTTTTGGTTCAACCCTTAACAAAAATGTGCAAAATCTCACCAACCCATTAATATGATGCTTTCGATTTATTTCTGACTCTCTTTAAACCTATGTGACGGTTACTGGAATTTGCATTTAAGAAGTAGCCTCCAAGAACAAATTGCTTCTATAAATGGGACACCCTACTCACCTTCCTCCCTTGCCCAGCTCCATCAAGCTCCATCGGTACAAAATATTACCAAACCTTCAAATGTGACTTGAAGTTGAAGGAAAACTTTGTATACAAATAGTTCCTAGTCAGGTGCAGTGGCTCACGCCTGTAATCCCAACACTTTGGGAGGCCAAGGTGGGGCAGATCACTTGAGGCCAGGAGTTCAAGACCAGCCTGGTCAACATGGTGAAACCCTGTCTCTACTAAAAATACAAAAATTAACCAGGAGTGTTGGCGCACACCTGTAATTCCAGCTACTCAGGAGGCTGAGACATGAGAACCACTTGAACCCAGGAGGCGGAGGTTGCAGTGAGTCAAGATCGCGCCACTGTGCTCCAGCCTGGGCAACAGAACGAGGCGCTTTTTCAAAACAAATAGTTCCTTAGTGATATATTTCAGGACTATCACTTAGACTGCTTTAAAGGTTATCCAAAATATTATATTCCACCCCCTTCTCAATGGGTGCTGGGGAGGGCCAGATTTTCCATCTATGGCATGTCCCAGTTGTCACAGGGGGAAGACAGGTGGGGAGGAAGGACAAGGCGGGAGCCTGTTCATTTAGGAATTCCACCACTGACCAGCTGATACTTCCTGTGACAAGTGGAATTTTTTTTTTTTTTTCCAGACAGGTGCTCTGGCATACAAACCAAGCATACACTAAAATCAGCTTAGGAATAATTGTTTTCTCTTAGAAAAGCAGAATACTAAGAGAAGCAGGGAACTCCACTTTCTAGCTTTAGGTGGTTGGGTTTTTTCTTCCAATAAAAGCTCAAAATAGGCTAATCAGAGAACGACCCCCTTCCTCTTGGAGAAGGTCCATTTCTCCTTTTCCTCTTCACTTTTCCATAATGTAAAATGAACAAAAGATCCTATCTACACCTGATAGGAACAAAACAGATATGCATAGGTTAAGGAGAGTACCTCAGATTGAGACAAGAATGTCAAGTTGCTGAGTACTTAGCAAACTTATATTGAGTCTTTTGCATGGACTCAATACTATATTTTACCTAGAATTTATAGACAAAACTTATAGCACAGCAGGCCAGACAGCATGGCTAAACATGTTGTTACTTGTTCTGTCAGCATGAACTCAGATTTTTAAAGCACTGGCTAACATAGGTGACAAGTTATTATTACCTTCCCTTTTCTCCTTGCTTCTGGGGGTAAGTCTAAGAAGCTTTGGTTCACGAAAAGGATCTAAGGAACACTATGTCTCCCACATCTACCCACACTTATCCAACCTTCACCCAGTTTTTAGGAGCCGCAGTTTCTTGAGAAACTGGGTTATGAACAACCATCAATTCTGTATCACTGATTCTGGTTTCTTACATCCCCTTCAAAGAGATAATGCTCTGGGATAGCATGGCTTCTTCCCTAATCAGTGCTAGCTCTGAAGCAGCAGAAATAGGGAGGCCAACCACACAGCCATGGGAAGGAATAAAAGGCAATGCCTGCCTGATCAGGGCTGAGCCATCATCCCCCTCTGCAAAAACTGAGGCATAATGATATTTCAGGCTCTCCCTATGTCAGGTTCCTGACATGCACCATATGTAGCTGCAAATCCCAATCAATTTCAACACTTCTTAACTGCTAGAACACCTTTCTCAACACTGTAATTTACCTTCAAAAGAATAGGGAGCAAGCACCCTCGCCTTCCCAGTACCACATTCTACTAACTGCCGCCCCCCTCCCCACCCCACTAACCTACCTACGCAAAGGAAGAAGGCAAATAACCCTCCATCGAAGCCTACGACAGACCGCCACAGTACATATGTCACTGACGAAGAACTTTTATTTCTTTTTAATGACGTTAAACACAACTGCTACAAGAGAAAAAACATGATAAAGAGGAGGCACCAAACTTCAGTTTCATAATTGAAACTGACAACGCAAGTAAATCAGGGCCTGCATTAGAAACTACAGGTTATTTCAGGCTCCTTACTTATAAGTAAACAATGTAAACGGCATATTTTTACTCTGCTTTGTCAAGACCCCCATGGTGGGAATGTCATCATGGATGAAGAAAGCAGTTAAATGCACATAACACTTACTTAAAAAATAATACAGCAAGAATTCCAACTGCAATATTAGACTTAGAGGCCAACACCAAATGTAAGAGATATCCAGTTTTGAAAAGAGATGAAAACTCCAGATTCTACCCACTACCATCTTTAAGGCGAACATGCCAGATAATGAGTTTTCTTTGGCTTTGTTTTTTCTTCTTAAAGAATACCATGTTAACCACTAGAGAACAGCTCTCTCCTCCCCCAGTCCAACAGATTTAATTAAGCTGCTAAAGCTTTGGAAAAACAGAATTATTTGAGCTAAGAGGAAATGTGATTGTCACATTTTCTAGTTAACCTGTCACTCATTTGATTTGGCAAAGGCAGTGCTCCTATTACACATTCAGTCTCAAAACCACATGTACCAGGAGGGTAAGAACATGAGTCTTAGATTTTTGCCTAAGCAAAATCCTGTCCCTTCATTCCTTGGGTTTTCTGTAGGGAACTAGACAGCTGCAATGCTAGCTATTCCAACTACATTTAATTTTAACTATGCTGTGGTCCCAAAGGTGGATGTTTGGCATGTCTCACTCCACCAACCTAATTTAGGACAGCCTGGAGAAGTGACCGATGTAGTAAATGCCAAGTAGGCTAACTAAAATAATAGATTTCGACAACTGCCTTTGAATAGAACTTCTCCTTTGCATTTTGGCCCCAGAATTTAAACCAAATGTTCAAGGAAAAGCAAATCCTTGACTGGATAAAAACAGTAAACACTTAGGGACATTCACCCAAATTTATTGTTGGCTTAAATGACCAAGCTTTCCCCAAGTCAGTTTCTAAAGTGGGGTAGGATGTTTAGAATGCGTTACTCACACAGAAAGATGGGATTGATGAAACCACAAAACCAGACAGAGGCTACAGCAACTATGAACAACCTCCACAGAGAATGAACAACAGCACAAATGCCAGACTGCAAAACTTCCCAAAATGATGTCTACAGCTATCTGTAGAGAATAACCAGCCAGGTACGGTGGTTCATGCCTGTAATCCTAGCACTTTAGGGGCCGAGGTGGGCGGATAACCTGAGGTCAGGAGTTTGAGACCAGTCTGACCAACATGGAGAAACCCCGTCTCTACTAAAAAATACAAAATTAGCCAGGCATGGTGGCACATGCATGTAATCCCAGCTAAGACAGGAGAATCCCTTGAACCCAGGAGGCAGAGGTTGTGGTGAGTGCAAATCGCGCCATTGCACTCCAGCCTGGGCAACAAAAGCAAAACTCCGTCTCAAAAAAAAAGAAAAAAAAGAAAAGAAAAAGAATAACCAACTCCTAAGATATCCATTAAGACAGATGCAGTCTGTCAACTTTGGTTAGAATACCAAACCTTAAGATCAGGTAATGCTTTTTGTGCATAGGCTTAGTCACAACTATATTACATCCACGTTAGCATCTATGTGAAACTAGGTATCAGGGGCTTGACCAAATGAGATGGTAACATCTAGGGTCTAAAGACACCTCTTGTTAACTAATAATGGAGACAAAAGAGTGCCTTTCCACACTCTCCCACAGAATGGAGGCTCCCTAACTAACACTCATACTTAAAGTTGGGGTTCAGCAAATGAAACTAAATACCAACTGATACCACAATAGCACTAGCCTGCCCTAGAGTCAAGACTCTGGGTGGGCAGCTCTAAAGAGAGCAAGGCCATCGTGAAGAGGCATATCCATGTCTAACAGGTTACAAAAATACTGCCACTAGAATCCTAACGAGCAGAGTGGTCACTGTGGGGTAAAAAGAAAAAGGAAAATCCTTGAAGAAAGGCAAAGGAGACAACCAGTCTCAAAACCACAAGGTATTATAAGTCTTCTGTCAAAGTAAGAGGTATAAGATTTGTAAACACTATTGTGCAAAATAAGTTCAATAAAGAATGAAAAAAATACCCCCCCCGCCAAAAAAAATCAAGGCAGCTAGTACATACAGAAGGGAGAGGAGAGGATTTACTATTTTAATTTGTCCTTTCAATAGGATTTTTCTCCTGCTCCATCCTACTTATAATGTCCTGGATTGCCAACTTTAAAATACTGACAGGTATTCAGAGGATTCAAATAAAAAAGTAAGAGGGGTTGTTAAAAGTAACTTATATCCATTCACAAGTCATGTAACACTGGCTCACAGCCTGGTAAAGAATCTCTTCCTTATGGGAGACTGAACAATGATTTCTTTGAGGTATCAGAAGTAGACTTTGCCACTTTGCCTTTGCAGAGAGGTGGGTCTTTTGCTTGAGCCTGGGTGTTCTGGCTTAATGCTGGCTTTCAGGAGGCAGCTACCTTCAATTTAAATTAAAAAAACAAAAAAACTATACCAACCAAACATTTGCTTAAACACAGACACACACACACACACACACACACAAAATATCAGGAGGGACTTCATACAAAAAAATTCAAGTCAGCAATGGGCATTTCCAAAAGGTGACAAGTTTTTTAAATAAAAATCTGTGAAAAATAAAATTCAAAATCGGCAAAGCACAAAACAGCAAAAGAACATGAAATGCTGCTCCAAGTAGGACCCTGGATAGGGACCTTCGTTGCTGATGGGATGAGACAAATTAACTGTACGAGAAGTCTGGGAGACGCTGGAACCGATGGTGGCTTCGCATGTTCCTGTCAACCCACTGAGTCAGACTGTATCTTTGCAGATGTTTCTGTCGGCGGGCGTAGTTTCTATCAAGAGAGGGAGAGTACAAACAGGAAGGCTATTTCAACTAGAATGGCTATTTGTGCACAAAAAAAAGGCCAGCACAACAATTTTAAGAAAATCTTTACTTCTGGAAATCAGATATTAATTTTATATTTCAATTCTCGCAATTTTAGAAATTTTATACTATTTTATTTATATGAACACCACACCATAAGTGCTATTTCTTTGCAACTCCCAAAGCCACCTAATTCCCATAGGCAGTATGGTGATAGGTGCCATATACACAATGCTCTAAGGAAAACTAATGTAGAATAATGTTTAAGTAGGGGAGAAAAAAAAAACAAAAACATTTTCTTCCTCCAGAAGAATTTAGGATAGGATCTATATTTCATTGTTTGCATCAGACCTGTACCTCCAGAAGGACCTCATTGTCTGACATAGCTCAAGGTTGCTCAGGACACGGCAGTTAAAATTAGAATAAATTCCCAGAAAGGTAAGTCATCATGTGAGTATCACATTGCAAGTTGAGACTGAAAAATTAACAGCACAGACTCAAAGTAAAGTTTCTTAGTTATGTGCTGGGCTGGGGTTCTGAGCAAGACACTCTAAGATAATTTGATTGCATTTTCGACTAAAAGTGCTCCTAATAACAATCTAGGAAACTTTCTGAAGATATGGATTCTAAAATTTAAAACAAGAAAAAGAAAAAACAAACAAATACAGATATGGATTCTTGGCCTCTCCCTCCTCCCAGACTTTATGACTTAGAATACCTGGAATCAGGATACGAACATCTTTATTTTTAGATATCTCCACAGGTGATTATGAGTAGTAGCCAGGGTTGAAAATAACTGTAACAGTACCTGACATTTATCTATCCCTATATGCAAGTACTTGCTGAATTCTTTAAATACCTCTCCTCACTTAATACTGTGACAATCCTACTAGTATTTTCATTAAGTCCTTGTATAGGTAAGGAAATTGAACCTCAGGTTAATAACTTACCCAAGGTCATACAGTAAAGTAAGTAGAAGGGCCTAGATTTGAATTCACATCTGACTCCAGAATTTATCTAATAACAATTACACTATACTGCCTTTCCTTCTGAGAAATGATATAATTTTGACAACTACAGAGGGAACATGACCGTAAAGGCCCTAAAGCAAGAGGAAGAGTATTAGGAGATGAGGTTGGTGAGCATAGGCCAAAGCATATAGGCTTTTGTAGGGGTTTACGAGAATGGGAAGATGTGAGATGGGAAGCCACTGGGAAATATTGAGCAAATCTGACTGATGCTTTAAAAGAATCTCTTTCTTTGGCTGCTGAGTTGTGACCAGTGCACTGGCAAGGAGGGCATTTAGAAGACTTGCAACAATCCAGCTCAAATGATGAGAAATAGTTAGGCTTTGGATATACAGCTGACCCTCCATATCCATGGGTTCTACATCCATGGATTTAACCAACCATGGGTCAAAAATAGTCAAAGAAAAAAAATGGATGCTTCCATCTGTACTGAACATGTACAGACATTTTTTCCTTGTCATTATTTCCTAAACAATACAGTATAACAACTATTTGCATAGCATTTATACTGTATTAGTTATCATAAGTAATCTAGAGATGATTTAAAGTATATGGAAGGATGTGCACAGGTTATGCAAACACTATGGCATTTTATATAAGGAATGTGAGCATCTGGGGATTTTGGTATCCAAAGAGGGTCCTGGAATACCAAGGACAACTGTATATGCAGAGCCTATGGGATTTGCTGGTAGACTGAATATGGGGTGAGAGAGAAAAGAGTAAAAGATGATTCCAAGGTTTCTGAGTATCTGAATCAAAGTAACTGAATAAATTTGTACAGCCACACTGCATCAAGAATCCAGAGAACTGTAATACTAAATCTGAGTCTTAAAAAAAAAATTCCAGAAGATTTCAGAATTAGGAAGGTCCTTTGACACCAAGTTGCAAAGCTAGTATTAGAACTCAGGTTTCCTGAATTTCAGTCCAGTTTTTGTTTTGTTTTTTGAGACAGGGTCTTGCCCCGTTGCCCAGGCTGGAGTGCAGTGGCACAATCACTGCTCATCACAGCCTCAAGCTCCTGGGCTTCAAGCAATCCTCCTCTCTCAGGTACTCTCAGGGACTACAGACACATACCACCATGCCCCGTTAAGTTTCTGTATTTTTTGTAGTGATGGGGTCTCACACTGGCCAGGCTGGTCTCGAACTCCTGGGCTCAAGCAATCCTCCCGCCTTGGCCTCCCAAAGTGCTGGAATTACAGGCGTGAGCTACTGTGCTCAGCCTTGGTCCAGTTCTTATTCCATTATACTGCATCACTGTATTCACCCCGCCTCTTGAATTAAGCAATTCCAACCCCTACTCCCTACTATGTTTCTCCTGCAGCCAAATTTCACCCTTTTGTTTTTAGACAGAGTCTCGCTCTGCCACCCAGGCTTGAGTGCAGTGGCACCATTTTGGTTCACTGCAACCTCTGCCACCGGGATTCAAGCAATTGTCCTGCCTCAGCCTCCTAAGTAGCTGGGACTACAGACACTCGCCACCACGCCCGGCTAATTTTTGTATTTTTGGTAGTTATGGGGTTTCGCTATGTTGGCCAGGCTGGTCTCAAACTCCTGATCTCAAGTGACCCACCCACCTTGGCCATCCAAAGTGCTAGGATTACAGACGTGAGCCACCGTGCCCAGCCATTCTACCCTTTTCCATCTTCTTCTAATCACCCACTCACCGTGTGGTGAGGTCCGAAGGATGCTGCCATTTTGAGTGCTGCATGTGATGAACTTGATCCATCAAGGCACAAAGCTCCCCGGAGATACCTGTGATACAGAGGGATCAGTGGTTAGGAAACAGCTGAGTGAACTACTATGTTAGCCAACATCAAAGTATGTGCTTTCAGGGAAAGAGAAAAAAGGCACTGTTCTCAACAATATATACTTATGATTATCACAAGCAGTGAGCACAGAAACTATAAACCAGAATGGGGAGATTGCTCTTGGAGGGTGAAGGTGAAGCAATAATGGCAGCCACCATTCATTCATTCAACACTTAGCTCCTACAATATACAGGGAACTTTACTTGTCCCTAGGAATATGGCAGTGAACAAGACACTGCCTCAATGAAGTTTATACAGGAGACAGATGATTCCAAAGTGGTGTGATAAATGCAGTGATAGAAATACAGACTGCTATAGAGACTGGGGGGTAGGGGTTAGGGAAAGCCCCCTCCAAGGGGAGTAACTATAGCAGGGATCTAAAGGATGTATAAAATTAGTGAGGCAAAGAGGGGTAGGAGGTTAGATGTCCAAGAGATAAGTTAATACAAAGCCCCAGAGACAAAAGACAGTAAATACATTCAAGAAACAAGAGGAGTTTAGAACAGATGGAGGTGGGCGCTCTTTGCTAACAAGAAAAATTGCTAGATGCAATTTCTCAAACACCTGGGATCCTGGCAATGTACTAGACACTTTACATATTATCTTACTTAATTCTAAAAAAAATCTTATATGGAGATAGATGTTATTAATATCATTTCAAAGATGGGAAACTATGGCTCAGGGAGGTGAACTTGCCTGAAATTTTTTTTTTTTTTTTTTTTTTTTTGAGAGAGTCTTGCTCTGTCATCCAGGCTGGAGTGCAATGGCGTGATTTCGGTTCACCGCAACCTCTGCCTCCTGGGTTCAAGCGATTCTCCTACCTCAGCCTCCTGGGTAGCTGGGACTACAGGTGCCTGCCACCATGCCCAGCTAATTTTTGTATTTTTAGTAGAGATGGGGTTTCACCATGTTGGCCAGGCTGGTCTCCAACTCCTGACCTCAAATGATCCACCCACCACGGCCTCCCAAAGTACTGAGATTACAGGCATGAGCCACCATGCACGGCCCTGAAATTCTTGATGACCCAGGATTCAACTAGCTCCTGTGTGACTCCATGTCCTTGCCACTATGCAATAATGCTAATTTTGCACTCAACCGTTGAGACTTAGGCTAAAACTCAATAGAAGCAGAAATAAAACACTAGTTAGGAAACAATTTCCCTAGATCAGTGGTTCGCAAATTTTAACATACATTATAACCAAATGGAGGTATTATAAAACAGATTGCTGGGCCTAGCCTACAGACTTTCTGATTATACATAATCAGAAAACTGCAGATCTGGGTAGGGCCTGAGAATTCACATTTCAAGCAAATTCCCAAGTGATGCTGATGATGGTGGTCTGAGAACCACATTTTTTTTTTTTTTTTGTGGGGGTGGTGGGGGATAGGAGATGGAGTCTCACTCTGTCACTCAGACTGGAGTGCAGTGGTGTGATCTCGGCTCACTGCAACCTCCTCCTCCCAGGTTCAAGTGATTCTCCTGCCTCAGCCTCCTAAGTAGCTGGGATCCTGCCTGCCACCACGCCTGGCTAATTTTTATATTTTTAGTAGAGACAGGATTTCACCATGTTGGCCAGGCTGTTCTTGAACTCCTGACCTCAAGTGATCCACTGCCTTGGCCTCCCAAAGTGCTGGGATCACAGGTGTGAGTCACTAAGTGTGGCTGAGAACCACACTTTGAAAATCAAAGCCCTAGACAGTGGAGACTTTTCAGCTAGTTTACATGTTTTTCATTACTTTATCTACTGTGCTTTCGGGAATCAAGAGCAGTCTCAGTAGGCTATAGACTCATATTTTCAAGTTCTAGTAAAAGTAATGTAACTTTTAGGATAAATATAATTTATCCGAAGCCTCAAAAAGTAAAGCTTTGTAGAAAAAGTATACTATATACTTTGGAGTTAGGCAGAGTTGAGTTAAAATTCCAATCCATCAATTAGCTCTGTGACCCTGGGCAAATTATTTCACTTCTTCAGGGCTCACTACTCATCTATGAAAAGCAGATAATACAATTTACCTTGAAGCTGAGTTTTAGGAATATTGTACATACAAGACCTTGCACACTGCTATGGCACACAGCATGTGTGCAGTGAATGCTAGCTATTATGATGTTAGCGCCTCAGGCCTATGTTAGCTTGCAAAGTCTCTGAATCCTGTGAAATTTTAAGGAAAAACTTTTATTAAATGGATCCATCCACACACAAACTATGACATTTTGTGGCACTCAAATATTTTTCTAACCATAACACTTTTTAGGAAAAATTTATAGATTTCATTAAGTTTCTCTACTGTTAAAAAAGCACGACCAAATGAAAGATAACTGACAAAATGAAAAATATATTTGAAACATACTTGGCAAAAGTTTAATGTCCTTTATCTACAGTCTCTTTATTTAAAAAAAAAAGGTCAAGCGCATGAATATACAACTCGCAAATGATCAATAAACATGACAAAAACAATGTTCAATCTTACTCATATGGAAAGAAAAGGCATTACTGTCACTCCTTGAGAAGGAAATATAAATCAGAAATGAGTTTCCTCGTGAAGGGAAGTAACTCTTGATTAGAAAATTTCTTACTTGCTGGATTTGTAAAGCTAAAATCAAAGGTCTCAATTCAAATTGCCTTTCCAATACCCCACTTTCACCTTGCTAGGACTCCACTCCCTGTGATCACCCAAAAAGGACATTTCAATGGGAGGCAGCGGAGGGGAGAATCAGCTTTATAAAAATTTCAAGATACATTTTCCCTACAAAAGCTTCACAAAGGAGGACTAGCAATATATGGAAATTCTGTGTCCATCAAAATGGAACCACAAGATTATCTATAGAACATGTCCTTCAGCTCACTCATCTCTTATCACCTGCATTTTAGAAAGTTAATCTGGCAATGGAAACTAAAGATAACAAATCTCCTGCAAACATATCTATTCACATTAAATGATGAGAAGAATAGCCAGTTAGGCCAAAGGGGCCTAATATTCAAATATTTAACTTCTAGGCGTCAAATCCAGCAGCAGCAATTTATATAACACTATATATTGAGCCTGTTTACATAAATAAATAAAGGCACTGTCCTAAGTGCTAGTTTATATATATCAACTCATTTATTCTTTATAACAATCCTCTAAGGTATTTTCCCCATTTTACAGACAAAAGTATATAAAACTGCAAAGAAACTGAGGCACAGAAAAGTTAACTAATTTGCCCAAGGTCACATATCTAGTGACAAAGCCAGAATTCCAACAATATAAAACTATCACAGGACTGACTTTCCTTAAAACATTTTCTGGGACCAACATTTCATAGCTGAGATTAGAAAGTAAAAATCATATAGCCATATGTCTAAGGGCTTAATAATCAGATCTCAGCTTATGTACCAAAAAATTTTAATTTTCCCTAGCACTAGTAACTAACTTATTGTTAGACTAGTCTAACTCTTATTATTAGTAAGACTTAATGATTTAGAGATAATGGGAGCTAACATTTATCAAGTACTTCTTACGTGCTAGGCACTTTGCTAACTGCTTTGCATGTATCCTATAATTTAATTCTAACAGTCACAGATGGTAAACTATATAACCTCCATTTTATTCACAAGTAAACTGAAGCTTATAAAAAAATACTCTTTCCCAGCACTTTGGGAGGCCAAGGCAGGCGGATGGCTTGAGCCCAGGAGTTCAAGACCAGCCTGGGCAACATGGTGAAATCCCGTCTCTACAAAAGTACCCGGGTGTGGTAGTACACACCTGTAGTCCCATCTACTCCAGGGGGCTGAGGTGGGAGGATCCACCTGAGCCCAAGAGGTGGAGGCTGCAGTGATCCATGATCATACCACTGTACTCTAACCTGGGTGACAGAGCAAGACACTGTCTCAAAACAAAACAAAACAAAACAAAAACAAAACAAAAAAAACAAAACTCATCTATCATCTAGTAAATCAGAAAAGCCAGGATTCAAACCCAGGTGGGGCTAATAATCCAAAAGCCTCATTTTAGCTTATAGTTTCAACCTCATCTTCCTCCAAATTTAGAGATGCTAACAAGAATGGGAACATTTGAATTTTCTCTTCTCTTCATAGTCTCTAACAGATGGACTTTCTTGGACCAACAATCAGTACCATGGTTTTATTTTAAGTTGTGGCTAAAAGGTGGTAAAGACTGTCCTTTGTTTTGTGACTATGAATGAAATAAAGAAGGGAAAAACCCCCAATATTTCAGGAATGAAGTCAACAATTCATCTAAATCTTAATCTATAAATATGAAGGTGAATGGTTTTGGGGAAACATCCAGTTTAATAACTGTTCTTAATAAGTTTAAAGTGAATCAATTTTTATATCATAATGGAGGAGGATGGATAATGCTGAGTACCTGCTATGCCAATTCTGACAGGTTTTATAGGACATAACACTTTTTACCACCCACATGACTCTAACTCAATCAAGTGTGGCACATGACCAAAGAACAGAGACTCTCTCAGCTGGCCAATGACCTAATGACCTAGAAGGCTGCCTGGTACCAGCAGTCATTAAGTAAACCAGTCAAATACTCTTCTTTGAAATGTTAATGTGAGCTTTAGTAATGAGAACAATAGAGAGAACGGCACACTCGCAGGGCTCTAAGAAGGAAAAACAGTTACTTGAGATAGCTAAATAGCAGCAAAAGTACTGGTCACAGAAACAGATTAGATTAGGGAAAATCCCAATAGGGAACAGAGGCACACATTTCTTTTTTCTTTCTTTCTTTTTTTTGAGATGGAGTTTCACTCTTTAGCCCAGGCTGGAGTGCAGTGGCTCAATACTGGCTCACTGCAACCTCCGCCTTCCAGTTTCAAGCGATTTTCCTGCCTCAGCCTCCCGAGTAGTTGGGATTACAGGTGCCCACCACCATGCCCGGCTGATTCTTGTATTTTTAGTAGAGATGGGGTTTCACCATCTTGGCGAGGCTGGT